TGACGGGTTATTTTTGTTTAACATAGTGCTTTATAAGTTAACAGAGCCTGGATTTTCTACTTATTATTTGTACCAACTGGGGTAATTCCTTTGTCCTCTCTAGGACTTGTTTTCTTCATCTATAAAATGAGGGACCATTCTAGCTCTATATCTATTATCATATGATCTACTTAATAGCATGCTATTTGTATATGTCCTAATAAACACACCATAAAGTGAAATTTTAGCTCTGAACTACACAACAAATTGATTGGGAGCAGGATAATCTGTAGTTGTTACCTCAGTTTAATGTCTTAGGGGGCAGGCCTGTCTGATTCAGAGTTGCCCAAGCTTAACTATGTGGCTAACGTCTTCCCTGTCGCACACTCACTCATTATAGCAAATGAGCATGCTGTAATGACTACTGCAAAGTGTTTGAATGTCTAACAAATCTTTTAGTTTATTTGTGATTGTCAAAGTCATTTTATAGTAATTATAATTACTAATCAACATGCATAAACAATTATTAAAGAATTTATAATTTAAAAATTAGACTTTCCACTCTATATATGTAGGGAACATTTTTCGAGGAAATCTTGACTGAAAAGAAAATCAAAATAAGTTACTTAAAATAAAAATTTTATGAAGGGCAGTGTGACATATAAAATTACTGGATAAAAAGTATGTGACTATTAATCTGATCAACTTATTACAGTAGAATCAGCTACTATAACGGATCAGTGTTCCAAAAATCAGAACTTTTTAATATAATCAATGTTGAAATCTCTTTTAGAAACATGTGTTTATATTTGAAGGGAAAAAAGATAGAGATTTTATAAGAAACTGACAATACTCTGTAAAATAAGTCAATATATTTATTGTTATTTTGTGACTTTGATATCAAATAAGCACAGGAGAGATTATAAAAAAGGGGGAGGAGAGAAAATAAGCATTTCTAAAGGACAACACAATGAGATAGATGCTATAATTATTCCCGTTTTACAAGTGAGGAAAGTAAGAAACATCAAGGTTAAGTGATTTGCCCAGGATCACACAGTTACTAAGTAAATATCTGAATCTGAAACTGAACTCATGTCTTTCTGACTCTGGGTCCAGATCTCCATTTACTGTATCTCCTAGATACTTGACAACATTGATTATAATAAAAAATCAAAAGTTGATGACTTGTAGACTTCTCATAAAACTCACATCTATGTATCACAAAAGATTTTTTTTTCAAGAAAATACTTAGCTATCACTAGGCTCGGAAAAAACAAAAAGCATCATTAATATGAAATTAGTATTATCTTAAGAAAAAAGTAACTAATAGTTATAGACAAAACAGCTATTTAATATCTAGTTCTGTGTTCAATCAGAACAATGATTTGAGTGAAGTTTTAAGTAGTAATGAAGATAAACTAAAAAAAAAAGGAATAAAAAGTGAAGAGATGACACGCCATATTATCACAGCAGGTTCAGTCCTATCTATTTAAAATTTTTCAGTTCAGGAACATGAGGCCATAGATGGACAAAAGTTGAGATAGATATTGACTTTATTTCCACTTCTTAGGGAGAGAATGTTTAACCAATGTAACAATCCTCTCCCTTCCCCCAAAAAAAGAGACTGAAGGACTCTAGACTGCTTCAATTTATTGTTGTTTAGTCTATTAGCTATGTCTGACTCTTTGTGACCCCATTGGAGGTTGTCCTTGGCAAAGATATTGGAATAGCTTGCCATTTCCTTCTCTAGCTCTTTGTGCAGACAAGGAAACTGAAGCAAACAAGGTTAAGTGAATTGCCCAATGTCTGAGGCTGAATTTGAATTCAGGTCCTCCTGATTCCAGGCCCCATACTCCATCCACTGTACCACCCAGGTGCCTTATCTGCTTCAATTAGTGAATACTTAATCTTTCCCAATCTAAGATATAATAGCTAAGGATAATGAGTTTAGAGTACCAATTTATTTAAAAAATATTACTCATAAGAATGAAGATTATGAATTGTTTCAACGCAAATAGGCAAAACACAGTTGAAGAAGCCCACGAAATTATAATTTTTGAACACTATAAATGCGTGTCTACATCAACACTCAATAGATGCCACACCATTTACTTTAGAGCAGAGACGTCAAACCTGCCACCTGAAGGCTGCATGTGGCCCACAACGCTCCTGAGTGCAGCCTGGAATAGTTCAAATGGCATTGGGAAATATTTAACAAAATAAATAAAAATACAATGAAACATAGATAATATTACATTTAAAACTAAGTTCTTATGTTGGTCCTTGACTTGATTTCTGCTTGACAACAGTGCTTTAGAAGGTGCAGGGCATCTGAAATGTACTATTTTAGTGTTCTTCCTCATCATTCCCCCACATTCTCTGTGTCCTCACCCATTTACTTCTTTCCCTCTTTTCTCTAAGGATAAAAGGAATCTCTTTGTGGTCAAAGCTAATCACTCCAGAAGTACTCTTAATCTTGCCTACATCCCTCCTATACCCCTTTCACAACCTCAGTCTATTAATCAGTTCCTTCTTATTCTGACATCATCAATCTCTGACCCTCTACCTACAACCATATTCAGTTTTCTATATTAAAATAAAACAATAAAACAACAATTAGAACAAAAATTTAATCCTTTTATTGACTCTATAACCTGAAGTTGCAGTCCTCTCTTTAACTTTTACTGCCAAATTTCTCAAAAGAGTACTCTACATGTGCGATCTTCACTGTTTTATCACTAACTCAGTCTTCAGTCCTTACAATCTGTCTTCTATCATCACTGTTCTCCTGAAACTGCCCCATCAAAATCTACAAATAGCTGGCTTTTTTTCAGCTTTCAAAATAAAAATTTCTTAAGAGCCTACAGTACCAGGTACTTAATTCAAACTGAGGATACAAGGAAAGGCAAAAATCAGCAACAGTACCAAAAACAAAAAATCTATTTCTTCTCCCCAGGACCCCACTATCTAATGGGGGATATAACATGCAAACAACTTTGTACAAATGAGACAGTATGAATTGGAGATGATCAACAAAGGGAAAGTCATCAACACTGAGGGAGTCAAGAAAGGGTTTTTGTAGAATGTGGGATTATAGCTTGGATATGAAAAGGGGAAAGGATCTAGGAAATCAATAAAAATGGAGAGAGGGAAATTTAGGCATAAGGAAAAGAAAGTGAAAATGCAAAGAGTTGGGAAATGTTGTTTCTTATTGGAGAAATAACAATGAGTTGGATGATAAGGTTGAAGAAGATTTGAAAAGTAGAAGAAGGCCATGTTACAAAGGACTTTAAAAGCCAAATGGAGGATTTTATTCCTCTATAAAAGTGAAGAACAGTTGCTCTCTATTTCCTTTCTCTGGCACCTTCTTATGACCTCTCTCCCTGGCTACCTTCTTTTTCTCTCTCTATGTATACTTTATTGATGAAGACATCCATTCCCATGTCTTTAAGCCACTGTTTCATTTAGCTATATACTTAAAACACAATTCCTGCTGTCTCTAATTCCACACAGTCTTTCTCATCTGCCCCTTCATTTTAATTACAATCCACTAATCCACTCTCCCAGTTCAGTTTTCTATTACTTCTCCCTTGAAATAATGTAGTAGTTTCTTAACAACCTCATACCTCCAAATTCTCTCCACTCCAATCTAAATGCCATTGGTAAATTAATCCTCCTACTGTAGAGGTAAGATTATGTCAATTCAACTTCTGTGTGATGATAACTTGAAATCTATAACCCTGATTTCTATCACAAGCTCCAGCACTGAAATTCTAATTATCTGGAATATAAGCAGAAATGACATTATTGTTTCAAGTTCCTCTTCCTTACTTCTCGATTGTTATCAATGCCACCACAACCCTCCCAGTAATCAAAGCTCATGACTTTAAAGTTATCTTTGATATCTGTCCCACATCTATTAAAAACTAGCATTTACAAAGTGCCTCAGGGTTTTCAAAGTGCTTTACAAATATTATCTAATTAATCCTCACACCTGGGGAGGTGGAGACATTATTATCTTGATTTTATGAATGAGGAAACTGAAACAACTGATTAAGAGATTTACTCAGCTATTAAATGTCTAAGGCTGGACTCAAATTCAGCTCTTCCTAAATTCAGGAAAAGTTATGTCACTTCACTTCTCAGAATGCTTTGATGGTTCCTCATGGTCAAGCAAATAAAACTCAAAGTCCTTAACTTATCATTCAAGGCTTTTAACAATCTGGTTCCAATCTATCTTTGCAGGCTTAGAGATCTTTTGTCATTTATTCTATGCTCAAGACTAAAATTCAACTTATTACTTTCCACTGAATGTATTCTAGGCTTTCCTAACTCCTTCTCACCTTTGCTAATGCATTCCTTACTCCTATATTACTCTCAACCCCTTTACAACTACTAAAATCATACTGAATTTCCAAAGGTTAAGTCAAATGCCATGTCCTTTATTAAGCCTTCTTCCCTCCCCATGAACACCATGCCTACTCAATAAGACAAATGATATATCTAATCTGAACTGATCACATTTTACTTATATTTTATTATGTAATCTTCATATCATACTTTTTTTAAATTTATGCACGTCTCATGCTAGACTAAAAACTCTGAGAACAGAGAATTTGTTTTATTTATATTTATATAGGTCTTAGCAACAAGAACAGGACATTATATACAATAGATAATAAATGTATGTTAAATGAATAAAGGACAGAAATCATACTTTTAGTTCCTTAACAATTCATAAATATTTTACTTTGATGAAAATTTTACTGAAATGTGTTTATAAAAGGATAAAGATTCTCATAAATTATTCCTCAATTTATGTTCACCTGGAAAAATAAAACATGTTTATTAACATTAAATGTCTGATGTACAGTACCTTCTGGAGACATCTCTGGTATGGTGGTCTCATAAGGTCCATCTAGGAATTCTGGTTTATTGTCATTGATATCCAGAACTTTGATGACAAATTCAGACTCAGGTTCCACAGGTTTCCCAGTGTAAATATTTATTACCTGAGCTCTAAGTTTGTAGTAGGCTTTCTCCTCTCTGTCAAGCTTTTTTATGGCAGTTATATCACCTGTTCTGTTGTTAATGGTAAAAATACTCCCAGCTCCATCCCCAGACAACAAGTACAACAAAGACTCATCCCCTTCATCCAGATTAGATTTCAGCTGTGAGGGGTAAAAGATAATATTTTAGTTTATTTTTAAGGTTAAAAGGGGGTATTTAAGAATTTTATTGAATTTCAATTCCTTTTAATGATCTATGTTTCTCTCAGGGTGGATACTCTAGCCTCTGATGAATATGATTATGTCTTAACCAATAATGTTGCTTTTACATTGCTATTACAAGAATGTTTGATCAACAATAGCCAATCTTTTCATGATAATTCTTTCTGAACTTATTTAGTCTGGCCCTTGGATGACAATTTATCACAAGGGCCATATATTAAAAATATTTTCCCCCAAACTTTACACTTGTACACACAAGAGAGGCATTAACACATAGTAGAAAGGTTACAGGATATTCAATCAGAGACCCATATTCAAGCTGACCACCATCACTTAACTACTTGTATTGTCTTAGACAATTCACTTTTTCTCCCTCTTCCTTATATATAAAACGTGGGTAATAATACTTGCAACACATGCATAATAGAGCTGTTATGTGGCTTGAAAAAGATAAGGTCTATAAATCATTTTGTGCTATAGAAAAATGTAAACTGTTAATAATATTATATGACGAAGGGTTTTTTTTAAGTAGGAATGAGTTATTCAGGAAAAAAAATGGCATGCAGAACCAAGATTTGTCATTTGTGAAATTTAAATAAACAAAGCAAGAAAGCATTTCTCTATTAATTACACATTTTAAAAATTATCCTACACTTCTTTGGAAGGCTCATCTTCCAGAAGCCTGACTGTTTCAAATTTGCCCTTACTTTGTTTGCTAGCCTGGCTAGTTATAACCAATTATATAATTTTAAAGTTTAGTTCAGCTTTTCATTCAAAGTCAATGAAGGTTACAGGTAGGAAAGCAGCATTCTAGAATAATCTGCAAAAATTAGTCTGTGCTTGGGAAAACACTACTGGAAAAGTAGACTCACAAGAAAATTTGTAAAAGTAGTGTCTGATACATAGTAGGCAGATATATGATATAATATATGGAGAGAGCTGAGGATCACTTAGATTTAGGATTCAAATCTTACCTGACACTTACAAGTTACATGTGAATGAAAAAATCACAATCTATCTCAAACTTAGCTAGCTCATCAATAAAATAGGGATAGCAATAGCACCTACCTTGTAGGGTGGTTAAGAGTATCAAATTAGATAATACACATAAAATATTTGAAAATTTTAACATAGATAGATATTTTTAATAATACTTATTTAATTACATGGGTTTTGAAACAGGCAGAAGTTTCCATAAAGAGATTAGTATTTTTTTCACTGATTTTTTTGTAGACTAAGAGACGTGGGCCATTTTTTCCTAATTGATTTTTCTCTGCTATCCTGATTTTCCCCTCTGCAAATTTTCTTCCTCACTATATCCAGAAATGTTATCATCTGAAAGACCAATCTATATCATTTATAATAATGGTATTTAATAATGAGATAAGTCAACTTTTGACATTTATGTCAATTTTAGCAATATAGAAAAAGTACAAAGAAACAGTTCAAACTTTTTCAATTATAGTATGAATTTGTAAATATACACATGATAAGAAAATGATTCCTATAGTTTGGATTTACATGAATGATTTTATCTAATCACCTTATGTTAATGTGTTCTTCCTTGTATCTGAGAGGCTCTGAAGAATTGCAAGGTGAACAGGATAATAATAGTACCAAAGAAGCCATCACCTTAGAAAGCTTCCAATTTACTACCTATTATCTTGGAATGGTTACTGAAGAAGTCATGTCATGTTGGGGAAAGTCTTGATATAATCAACTTCAATAATCTACCTCGTTTTGAACCAGGGCTGATCTAAGCCCTAGGGAATTTCTATCAACTAGTGAAACTGTAACAAATCAGGAGAGCGTTTAACTTACTATTTAATACATAGATAGATTCTTTGCACTTTTATACCAAAGTCTGTGTCTGCATGGAACACAGGATGATGAGGAAAAATGAAACAGACACATTCTATCAAGATGAGCAAGGTACACATCACATGGCATTTCAGTATAAAAAAATAGATTTTAAAAACTTGGTTTAAGGGAATTGAGATAATTAAAAATGTGTAATTACTAGAGAAATACTTGTTATGAGTTACTTATACTGTGACCTAGGCATCATTAATTAGGTAATTTTCTATAGAAAGATGTTCTAGAGAAAATAAATACCTTATCTGTAAAGTTTCCTTTGATCCTATGTCTCAGGTATGAAATAAAATACATAAGTAAATTAAGTTTCAATCACAGACACTTTAGTGCTATGGAACTCATAGAAAAAAATATATATATCCTACTTTATACAGTACTAAAATTCTAGGCATCTTAGTACTATAAAGTGAAATTTTATATAAAATTGTATTTCTAGCCCAAATCTTTTTTACCAAATAGATCAAAAAAGGAATGTGTCTATATTGAATGAAGCAATGGCATTTCTCCTTTTATTAAGTTTTCAGTTATCACAGGTGATCTTGCTCTGCTTTAAATCAGTTAGTTGAGACTCCATTGCATGTTATTAAAGTCTGAATCGGATGTTGATGGAAAAATCTTCTGTAAACTAGACCATTTTCTAAAACATTGGCCACAGCTTGGAGAATAAGCAAAAGTCATTGCAAACTGAAGGAAAGCAAAATGTGGTGTATGTGGTGGATGTGCATCCTAAAACAGGTAGAGTTAATGAGCAAGACAGCCTGACTTTGGGCTCATATTGATATATTTCCCCATAGCGGCTTTTTTATTCAAAGTCACCAGATGATGTTAACCCCTTACTTTGGTGACAAGAGAACATTTGTTCCTTTGTAAAATGTTGATTGAGAACATGGCTAAAGAGAGACATAGTTAACTATCAAGAATGAACTCTAATCCTCAATTACATCTCCCATTCCTGGAGAGATGTTGGTTTATAATAATTGTAGTGTTTTGCAGTGTTTTTCAAAACAGTTATATAGTGCTCTAGTAATTTTTTTTTTTAAGTGGCAAGGAAGCAACCAATAGCAAGATGTAAAATGTGTTTCAAACTTTGTTTCTTGGGAATTTCTAAGGCCCTAGCATAAGCAGTTGCCTTTGTACATGCTTAAATTTATGCATGTTAAGCCACACATATATGTACATTCCTATTGAAATGAGACACCATTCAAGTACAGGAACTCTTCTGAAAGACCTGTGAAAAGGGAGTTAATGAATTTTGAACACTATGCCCTTTGGGCCCAATTGAATTTTAGTGCTAGTTAATTAGCAGTTAAACTTATTTCAGTTCATTCATCTAGAAAATGCCTTACAAAAAAGGGCAAGAGATCCATAGGCTGCAATTACCTCTATTTAAAAAAGCTAAATAATAACAAAATAATAATATAGATAGGGAGATATTTTGCTACATTAATGAACTTTTCTCAAAAAACATTCTAAAATGGGAGGGGGATGAAAATAAATATTTTTATAGTATAACTACATTAATCTAATGAATCTTGCCAGTTCCTGTAGATTCTTAGCTGTAAAAGGATTTCAGTATTAATCTGCTTCATTAAAAATTAATGATGGGGAAATCAAGTGCTACTTAGTGTAATAGAAAAGCGTGCTAAATACTGCTTGTAAACTGTATTGTGCTTAGTGTGGTTGCTTTGATCCACTGCCAAAATTAGCACCATCAAATTGCCAGATGTTGATAAATGAGGGCAGCATTGTTATTTAGAAAACTGAAAAGAAATTTCAAGGCCACTTTAAAAAAAATTGATGGATAATTGTGCTCCTTAAGCTCCTGAAGTTATGAACTACGGTGGCTTTTGATTCTTTCTATTGATTCACTGTATGTCAGTTTAGTCATACTAAGTAATTAGCATAACTTCTCTGACTTGTGCATTTATTTTTGGTGAAAAGTTCACCCATTATAGCACTTCTGAAGCACAAGAAACATACCCGGCCAACATGTTGCTCAGTTACTGTCAGCTCCTCTTGCACAAAAAAACGATTCCACACCCAGCTCCGCTTTGCTCTTAAATGAGATCGTAGTGACTGGTTCATCTCATGCATTTTAGAGTTGGTCATATCTGTGTGACAGGGATATAGTTGAGCCAGTCCCAAGAGAAATTGTAGTGACACATAACAATTCATGCTGAAGTGTTTTTTCAGTAGAGGTACTCCTCTGAGAAATCAGTGGGCACAAGTAGTACTTTCTCCTCTTCTCCAAATACCTATTCCATGTGCTTCTAAAATATATTTTTTACTATTAAAAATATTTCATACTCCTAAAAAAACAGAAAGTAGAAAATAATTATTTTGGAATAACGTTTATAAAAAGTAATATACTCTTTCACACATATACACATACTTTCTTATGAAATATAATTCTTTCACTCAATTTTCTTTTGCAACTCTTGAACTATCATGTGACAGAAGGAAAAATTTGTTCAATTAAGTCATCCTCTGAATTAAACTAGGTAAATTGTATTGTGCAGACTACTCATAATTTGATAGAAATAATTATCCTTTTCTGCTTAGACAGTGCTCATTTTGAGTGTTGGTCATAGAAATGCCTCAAGATTGAAAAGTAACAGTATAAGGGTATCTTTGACAGGCAGCTGACACTGAAGCTTGTATTTTTTAAACCTACTTACTTTCTTCCTTCTCTCCCAGTAAACCTCAAACTAGCTTGTTAAAAGCAAAAACCAGGAAAGGGAAGTATTAGCTACTATAATTCCTGGTCAAGAAAGATGAGTTTTCTCACCTGATTCTCTAATTTGTGACAAGTTGTGTTTTTAATTATACAGACAAAAATACAATTTCTCCTAAAAGCCTCAGAGTTTCAACAAACAATTCAACAATCAATAAACAATGATGATATAAAACTTTGTTCTTGTATGTAGAAATTCTGTGTAAGATATTTATTTTTTCTTTCTATGAGAGATTTTGGTATTGATTGAGTTTTAAAGAGAAAGAAATCTCAGTCTATTTTAAATTAATTGGAATGTTGGAATTAGAAGGACAAAGTCATCCTATTGTATATACCTGGGGTGGGGAAGTTAGGAATCCGACAGCACAGAATGTAAAAAAAAAAAAAATCATATATATACACATATATGTTTACATACATATGTGCATAAAGCACTTTGTAACCATAAACATATTTGTAGCTATTATATAGAGTATAAATTAATTAATTAATTAATATTTTCAATAGATCTAATTGGCTTTTGATAGTACCACTCTTTTGAATGAATGAGTATAACTAAACGGGTTTATGCTTCACACTTTGACCCCTATTTCCCAAAGTAAAACCAAGTTGTAACATCCTTTTTACTATCATGTGTATGTCCTGAGGTAGGGCTATAGATGAAGGAATGCTATAGCCATTCCTGAGTCTTCACTATGCCTAGCACCAATATTTTGAGCCTACCCAAATGGGAAGGGGAAGCCAAGATGCTTCATGAGATGAACAGATCTAGGTTGGAAAGGAATAAGTTAAGTCTTTTGTGCTAATCTGCAGTGATAGTAGGCCCACAAATAGCTTCTGCTCTTGCTGTCAATAAATCAGTCAATAAATTAACCACTCAGTAAATAAGCATTTATTACATACCTAATATGTGCCAAGCCCTGCATTGAGCACTTGAAGATACAATGGACAGCCAGTCTTAAAATACATATATATATATATATATATATATATATGTATGTATGTATGTATGTATGTATGTATGTATGTATGTATATAAATGACCTAAAGTGAAATCTGCTACCTTATAATAGAGAATGTTATTCCTTCCATTATATGATATTTCTGAGCAAAATACTCATCTCATGGAGACCAGAGAGATACAAAATATTAGTATGGAAAGTAAATGGAGATAATCAATTGTTCACTTACAATCTTAAGGCATTACTTAGAAATTTATTTTGTCAGTTGATGTATTATAGACATTAAAATGCTAACAAAAATTACAAATCCTCTACTAGGTGCCAAGGCGAATAAAGGAATAAGCATTCATTATAGCTCCTATTATGTGCCAGGCACTGGACTAATCACTTTTTTTTTAATAAAGTGAAAGGGAATAAGCATTTAAGTGGTACCTCCTTTGTGTCTGGCACTGTGCTAAGTGCTTTTTACAAATATTATTTCATTTAAGTCTCATAAAACCCTATGAGGTAGGTGCTAATATTATCCCCATTTTTAAGTTGAGGAAACGGAGGTAAACAGAAGTTACGTGACTTGCCCACAGTCAAATAGTTAAGAGGTATCTGACACTGGATTTGAACTCAGGTCTTCCTGACACTAGGCCCTCTCCTGTATCCACTGTGCCACGAGCTACCACTGCTGTTTGGAAGTATTTCACAAATTTATCTGTATATATGATTAACCCATTTAAATAATATGCAGTAAAAATGCAGTTTTTTGTTGGTATGGATACTGTTTAGTGCTTGACCACTGTGGAAGACAACTGTTACATAAGCCATCATGGAGACTACAATGAAATATATAGTGAAATATAAATTATGGAAAACAGCTGAGTTGTCAGAATATGAGTTAAATGCTTTAAATTTCAAAATCACAGAAAATGGCATTCTATGAACTACAGAATAATAAGAATAATCCAATACCTAGAAATAGTCTAGCATTCATTTAGATGAGTGTTTTCTAAGCATTTTAGAAAAGAAAAAAAGGGAAACTTCCAACAAGATGGTAGAATGAAATGCTTCCTCTCATTTCGGGGCCCAACACCAATTCAACACAATACTAAAACCACAATGTATAGTAAACAAATGAAAAGAAAAAAATAATAAAGAAGTGGAAGCAAGTCATCAAAAGGTATTCCCTTATTATGGTAAAACATTTCAAAAACTTGCATTTAAATTTTAATCAAAAAGAGAGCGAAGCCTTTTGCAAGTTTCTTGAATATTTTCACATAGATAGAAAGTATCAGACATGAGATTTGTACCAAGGTCTTCCAGACTTCAATTCTATCATTCAATATGCAATGCATATATAATGGAAGGTAAATCGGTCAACTGATGACATGAGGACTACACTTGTATTATACAGAAATTCCTTTCCAGAGTTCAATTCAAGCAACCTTATGGGAGCTTGTGGCTGCAGTGTGTTGAAAAAAATCTCTAATTGTCTACAGAGCTAGAAAACTCTCAAGTTAAATATTTTTTTCAGTTGTAATCCAATGAGCATATAAAAGAATTGATCTTCCTATCTCATAACTCTTTCAGAGTTACAGTGAGTTGTTCCCTGAGATAAAGGTGGAGGATAGGTTTGCTCTAGCTAGGAATTGATAGCCTCAAGCCTTTGTCTAGAATGGGGACATTTCCATTTTGTGTTGGTTCTTTCTTGTTCTTAAGCTAATGCATATTCTGATTTGTGAGTGAACAAGAAACCTTGCGAGTTTGAGAGATCATGTGTTATATCAGAGATTTCATGGATGACTAGAGTTGAATGGTCACTGAGTGGCAGTGGCTAACAATTGCATCTGCATCAGTTGTTGTCGTTGTTCAGTTGTTTCACTTGTTTCCAACTCTTTGCAACCGCATTTGGGGTTTCTTGACAAAGATGCTGGAGTGATTTGCCATTTCCTTCTCCATCTAATTTGCAAATGAGGAAACTGAGGCAAACAGGGCTAAGTGACTTCTTCAGAGTCATAGCCAGGAAGTGTCTGAGGCCAGATTTGAACTCCGGAAGATGGGTCTTCCTGATTCCAGGTCTGATATTCTATACACCATACCACCTACCTTCCCTACATATGAAAAGTGATTGTCATCAAAAGAAGACAACTTTCCCCATGATACTCATAACCTCTCAAAAAGTACTGCCTATGGACTCAACAGATGAAGATGTCTGACTGTGATTCTTGCCCAGCAGGGAGGTAAAGCTAATTGCATTTGGTGAAGAGGATATGCAGAGAGAAAAGAGTTTCTCACTTGACAGAAATTATAAGTACCATGCACTTGGTGTTAGCCCACTCAGTAGCAAAATGATAGAGTAGTAGAAGGCAGTACAGTTGAATTCCTACCTTCCAGAATATCTCCAAACAAATATAGAAAATGCACCAGACTCCTGATAGGAAGATTCAACCCCACCAAAAAAAAAATCACAGTGTGTCAATTTTCCAGCCAACTTTTGCACAGGATGAGAAAGAGGTCTGCAGACACTTGAGATAGTGTCTGGTCAGAATCAGGCCAGGCTGGGAAGCACTCCAGTACAATGAAGAGGCTGTGCCCAAGTGCAAGACTGGTCCCAAGCCCATACTTGGGTGTATCCTGCAGGATTTGAGAACAAGGTCAATCTAGCAGCATTTTTGCCCACTATTCAATCTCAGTTCTGGGTGGACTGGGAAAATTACCTATGCCCAGACTTTCTCGCTGGGGATGAAATAGTTGTGAATTTTGGGCTGCATACCCAACAGGGAGAAAGTTCAGAAACAACATGTAGCACTTGGTACAGAAAACATGAGCAGATAGGAATCTCAGTTCTAATTCTTCTCTGGATTCAAAGAATGAATAATAATGCTAGAAGGGACCAAAGAAGTATAGAGGAAGAAAACTTTGGTCAAGAAACTAAGGGCCATACAGAATATATTTTCTTCAGTAGTACCTATTGAACACAAAAGATTGAAAGAGACAAATATATTTTGGAAATGAATAACTGCCTAAGAAGGTCACATCTGAGAAGGACATTTGGAATTCTGATAAAATATAGGATTCCTGACCAGAGATGGAGTATTCTTAACAAACAGTAGTAATAATGTATTTTGGCAGATGACTTATCAAGTCAAAAAGACTTGAAATTAAAAAGGATGAGGAAAGATAGAAGTCTGTCTTCGTATAATCACCAAACCATATTTCATAAACACTAATGAAAATGAAGGAAGAATAGCCATTGAGTTACACATAATTTCTTAGTAGCTTAAAATCCAAGAAAGGAGCCAGGAGTAAACGCATGGCTTCAAATGACAATACCCAAAAACACAAAATCACACAAGAAGAGCTAAAAGTCCTAACAAAAGGAGGCAAATTTGGCCTCAGTATTATTACAGAGTTGGTAGAATGAGACCCATAACTGTAATATGGCTTTAGAATGTTCCATCTTTAAAAGTAAAAAAAAAAGATTAGGTAAAAGGACATGTACCATTATATATTAATAAGATAAATTCTTCTGTGAAACCCAGTAATTGGAAGGAAGTGGTGGTGGAGGGTTTTGGAAG